AAACTTTCCATCCATCCATCCATCCATCCATCCATCCATCCATCCATTCATCCATCCATCCATCCATCCATCCATTCATCCATCCATCCATCCATAGTTGGATATTATTACTCTCTGAAGTGTTTACAGAATTCATGTTCATTCAACAAAAAAAAAAGACGATGGCACTTCGGAAATAACGGCTTATCCTCCGAGTTTTTTGAGGGAGGAGATTGATCACCCCGTGAAGACAGAACAAGATGAAACAATATCCCGGCTTCCTGCTGTAACTTCATTTATGAACTGCCCTCAGAGTAGCAGAGGCCCGCAGATCAGCAGCCGATTTCAGAGCAGAAACAACCCTGATGACGCTGATTTCCCCGAGGAGAACAGCTCTGTCCCCGTATTAGATTCTGTGTGGGTGTACCTTCACATCCATTTTAAAAAAGGAAAATACTGCAGTGCACTGGAAAGGCAAAGTAATCTCAAAGTAACCCGAGAAATGAACTGCCACGGATTCTAAAGGAGCTGGTTTCTCTCACCACGAACTATTTCTAACCAAATTGAGTGCCTCCTGTTTTTCAGACCCAATAAATGACACCGGATGGAGTATAAAAACACTATTTAAGGGGGTGTTTCTGAAACCAAATGCTAAAAAACATAAAAAACAACAACAAAAAAAATAATAATGTATGGACTAGATAGATGTTTAGATTGCTTTTTTAAAATATCTACTTCTGCAAATTTTTTAAAGTTAGAAATACAGCCACAAAAAGACGCTGGAGAAGGTCAACCATCTATTTCAGTAAAGCTAAGCCAGAATATGGAATAAAAATGGTAAAATTAGGAGTCTTTCCCAAAAAGAGATTGATTTTACAATAAAACAAACTTCTTCTGCCCGGCTACAACTAGGCCACACCCACAGCATTCCTTCCTATTGGCTTATTTTTCTTCCAGCGTCTAAATCCAATTTTTAAAAGCTTTTGTGTATATATATTTATTTATCATGATAAAAAAAGAAGTGTACTAAAACATGCTGTGGAGAGTCACAGGGTTTTAGTTACTCACTCTATCTATCAGTTAATGTTAAATAGCAGTGGTTCCTTTTTAATCCGCCCATTTTACCTTTTGTTTAACTTAAACGACTGTTTTAGCCAAACAATTAATATATGAATGGATCGTAGAAATAAAGTAAGTCTTTAAGAACTCAGTTGACCTGCCTATAGCCCTGACATCCACCCTGTCCAATTTTTTTAAGAGTAAAATGTGAATATGTTTAAAAATCCGGTACAAACAATCTGTAGAGGAAGATGTGTTTCCTGAGTTCCACCGACAAAATAAACACTATTTCGCCATAGTTTTGATGCAGATTAAGCTGGTTTCCTCTGGGTGAAGACATATCCAGCTTAAGACTTCTTGGGTTCCCTGACATATTTTCCTAATCCGCGTTAAATCCACACCCTCCAGTTCCTGCCGCACTCACAGCTCAGCTCGATGCGGATGAAGTCCTTGATTCCCAGGTTTTCCAGGAACACCCCAGAGGAGGCGGTGGTCTTAAACAGGAAGGAGATGTCCGCGCTCAGCTCGCCGTGGAAGGTGGGGAAGTGCAGGTACGACGTCTCCTTGTCGAAAAACGCTGCGTTCCAGAAATTCTCTGAAATTAAAAAAAAAAATTTAAGCAGAGAGACAAATTAAGTTACACAGGCTCCATGTTTCCTTCATGTGTCTTTAACTATTGAAAGGTAAGGAGAAGGTAATTAGTGTCTGGAAATTGAATTAATTAGAGGACTAATTAAGCTCAGGAGAGGCAACATCCTGTTTTGATCTGGACTGTAATTAATTAAATGAAAAACGAGTGTGAATATTGAAAAGCAAACATGAATTTGCTCGGCTATGCCAATAAAACCCTATTGAGACATAGTCATTCATCCTGTCGTTGACAGAATGATGTCATACACACCATCTCTATGTAAAGACTTCTTCATATCAACTGTAACCAAAGCGACCAGAGATAGACCTACTGTCCCCATGACACTGGAGAGGTCCCACCCTGTAGGCAGCTTCTGAGCCCGGCCTCTGGATGTCACCCAGGACCAGGGACCTGACCGGGAGGTTTTCTTTGTGGGTCAGGAGGCCCGAGTCCTCGGTCCTGTGGGAAGATGCAAGAGGGGACAGATGAGGAAAGAAGTGGCAGAGGAATAAATAAAAAAAACAAGAGGTAAGACGATTTGGGAAGCTGGGGAAGAAGGGAGAGAAGAGTTAAGAAAAAGTTAGAGACAAGAGAAGATGTAGAGGCAGAAAGGGAAGGAAAAGGTGATGGAGAAAGTAAAGGAGGAGCATAGGAGGAGTCGAGGTGCAAAGGTAGAAATAATATGGAGGAACACCAGGAAAGAACAGGAGGATAAATCCAAAAAAAAAAAAGGAAGAATTATGCTAACAATAATAATAACAATAATTATAATACCGATAAAAAAATAAAAAAATAATGATAATAATAATAATAATAATAATAATAATAATAATCATGATAATGATAATAATAATAATAATAATAATAATAATCCACTCCAGTATCAATACCGCTTTAATAATAATAATAATAATAATAATAATAATAATAATAAGGATAATAATAAATGTTTCTTCATGAAATAGAGCCTTGTACTGTATGCTAACTGGACTCATTTGTCTGCATAAATGTAGGTGTGACAATCATTTGCCTCCACAGAGGACCATTTCTCAGGAAGACGTTTCAATAGGCAGTCAGATTGTATCACAGCCACCCCGACACTCCACACTCCATCTCTGCCACTTCCTGTGACAGTTTTTCCAAAAAGAGCCCCCCGGACAGACAGCTGAGCGAGCACCTCCGTGCATTTACACCCATCTCCGGATAATCTAATGCCAATCTTCCTGTCAGGTGAGAATTTAACTGAAAATGAGGGCGGGGTTGTGGGTGGAGGGGGGGGGGACAAGTGGTCAAGCTGTTATTTCCACTGTTTTAAACCCAGGACTCAACTCCAGACCATTGATACTCACTTCTACCATCAATTTACAGTCTTCAATCAACCTGACCTGTTGGCTAACCACTCAACAGCAGAGAGGCTTTAACTTGTCTGTTGCTAACTGCTAAATAATTCAAAGAAAAACCTCTCAAAATGTGCATAAATACAACAGACTAGGGAAATATTCATTAACTCTGCATCCAGTGTGACTCACTGATGGCAGCTGTTTAGTATACCCACATCTCCAGTCATCAGTCATGATGAAAACATGGTGGAAGAAGCGGAGAAAACCCCAGAAATGTGGTTTTGGCTTGTGAAGCTGACTTCAGAAACCTTTGGCCGGGTCTTTTCTCTGATCCAAAGCGCTTTTATCTGCAGGAAAACAGCCTGAGAGCTGAATACTCTCAGGCTGTGGAGCATTTCTAAAAGGCTGGGTCCTCTCAATAGATTATTTCTGCTGTGTTTGACCATCGGTTCATTAAAAATCTTAAAATTTGAAAAGATTTCACGAGCGCATTGTTGCTGCTTTGTGGCCACGGAGGTCCTGATTAATGATCAGGGGTAATAGTTACTAAAAGGGCAATTTTTAGTCCCCGGGGGGCTGAAATACCAGGTGTCTCTGGTCTAAATGTGTCACGTCTGGGGGAATTTCTGGTGTTTTGTCATGTCTTGATTACCTATTGTGTACACCTGGGGTTCCCCTCCCTCATGTGTTCAAATAGTCCTCTTTTCCCATGTCCTGTGCCAGTGTGTTTTTGCCTTTGTGTCTTTTGTTCCTCTGTCAGTGAGTTTTTGTCATTTTGCTGTCTTTGTCTTTTCGTTCCTCGTCTTGCCCACACCACGTAAGATTTAGATTTTTGCACTTTGTCACAGCCTTGTTTTTTGCCACAGTCTTGTTAATCTTGTTTTGATACTTTGCCATAGTCCTGTTTACTTTCAGTACTTTTGCCATAGTCTTGTTCACTTTATTTGATACCTCGTTCATAGACTTGTTACTCTTTGATACTTTGTTCATAGTTTTGTCTGCCTTGGTTTGAACTTTGTCTGGCCATGCACTCCTTTTGAGAGCATTTTTTGTTAAATAAATCCCGTTTTCACCCTGACAAAATGCAGCTCATGTCAGGGAGGGGGGTTTTGACCGAGGACTCAGGCGCGGAGATGACGAAAACAGGGTTTATTGAGACAAAAAAATACTCAAAAGGGTGGAAGTCCAGACAAGGTTAAAAAACAAAACTGTAAAAAAACATGGCTATGGAACAAAGTAAACAAGACTGTGGCAAAAAGCAAAACCTTACGTGACATGGGGAGACGAAAGACGAGGGACGAGAGACGCAAAAAGACGCAAACGCACTGGCACAGGACATGGGGAACGAGGACTATTTAAACACATGAGGGAGGGGAACCCCAGGTGTTCACAATAAGTAATCAACACATGACGAGACACCAGACGTGACAGCTCATTGGGTCATTAACTCTTTGAAACTCTCCCCTCTGGCACAAGATTGAGGACCATCAGGACCAAAACCTCACGCCATAAAGACAGTTTCTATCCAGCA